AAATAAAACCAGCATTCAACAATGAAAAATTCTGCCATTTGATGAAAAATTGCAAGATAGGTGAAGATGTAGAAAACACTCCATATGAGGTTAAAAAGAATCAGTAAAAGCAAACCAAGAAATGGCACAAATGAAGGAACTGGCAGACGAAGACATTAAAATAACATAAATATACTTCATATGTTCAAGAAGGCAGAAGGAAGCATGGAAAGATTAAGAAGAGACAAATATAAAAGACCCTAATCAGACATCTAGAGATAAAAAAGAATGCAGTGTCTCAGATGAAAAGTACACTGGATGGAATTAAGAGCAGATTAGACATTGCAAACAGTAGAAACTATCCAAAATAGAACGAAAAGAGAATAAAAGAGGATGAGTGAGCTATGGGACAACTTCAAACAGCTTTATATACCGTAATTGGAGTTCCAGAAGGAGGAAACAAAAACATACTTGAAGAGATCATGTCTGAAAAGTTTTCACATATGATAAAAACTATGAACCCACGGACCCAAGAAACTCAATGAAACTTTAGACACAGGAAACAGGAATAAAACCACACCAAGCACATTATAATCAAATTAATACCAGTGGCTAAGAAAAATATTAAAAGCACCCAGAGGAAAAAGGACACACTACATGTAGAGGAACAAAGTTAAAAATAAAAGCAGACTTAGAAACAATGCAAATCAGAAAACTGGAGCAAAATCTTTAAGTACTTAAAAAAAGCCCTGCAAAACAAAACTGTTGACAGGATTTTATACTCAGCAAAAATATTGTTCAAAAATGGGAGATGAAAAAGTGGAGATGAAGTAAAAACATACAAAACTGGAATGAATTGATTGCTAGTAGACTACAACTGTTAAATGAAAATCTTCATTCAGATAAAAGGAAAATGATGTTGGAGGGAAATCTGGACTTACTGAAGGGGACCAAGAACACTGAAAATGATAAATATGTGGGTAAATATAAAAAAATGATAAATATGTGGGTAAATATAAATATGTGGGTAGATATAAAATTTTAAAATTTTCTTCAAAAACAGTTGCTTAAAGAGAAATTTATAATGTGTTGTGGGGTTTATAATATATGTAGAAGTAAAATGTATGATTAAATAATACAGGGTAGGAGAGGGGAAATGGTTCTTTTAGCATGAGTTTCTTTCAGTGTAAGTTTCTTTTAGTGTATGTAAAATGGCATAATGTTATTTAAGGCAAACAGAAAAGTTAAAAATGTTTACTATAAACCTTAAAGTAGCCAAAAAGAAAACATAAAGTTGTAAAGCAATAAGCCAATAATGAAGATAGAATAGATTCATGAAGGGCGCCTGGGTGGCTCAGTCGGTTAAGCGACTGCCTTCGGCTCAGGTCATGATCCCAGCGTCCTGGGATCGAGTCCCGCATCGGGCTCCCTGCTCTGCGGAGAGCCTGCTTCTCCCTCTCCCACTCCCCCTACTTGTGTTCCCTCTCTCTCTGTGTCTCTCTCTGTCAAATAAATAAATAAAATCTTTAAAAAAAAAAAAAAAAAAAAAAAAAAAAAAAAAAGAATAGATTCATGAAATATACTCAGTTGTTTCAAAAGAACAGAATAAGAAAAAAGGGAAAAAAGAATAGCACAAATAGAATACAAATAGGAAGAGGGCATACAAATTCAGTTATATCTATCACATTAAATGTGATAATTGAAACATGTTAACTAAAAGTCAGAGATCATCAGAGTAGATAAGAAAAAGCAAGACTCAACTCTACTGTTTATAAGAAAACCACATTGAATGTAAAGACCAAATAAGTTAAAAGACAGGAAAAGATACATTATACTAACATTAATGAATAGAAAGTATCTATATAAATTTCAGACAAAGTAGATTTCAGGGCACAGAATATTACTAGAGATAAAGAAGGATAGTTTTTAATAATAAAGTTGTCAATTCATCAGGAGGACATAGCACTACTAAATATTTATGTACCTAATATCAGAGCTTCAAATTATATGAAGCAAAAACTGGCAGAATAGAGAGACAGATACATTCATAATTATATTTGGAGATTTCAACATCCTTATTTCAATAACTGATAAAGAAGAATACAGGAAATCAGTAAGAATGCAGAAGACTTGAAGAACTCTGTCAACCAAGTAATTCAATGATAGAACACTTCATTCAATGACAGCAGAATACATATTCTTTTCAAGAGTAGGTGGAACACTTACCAAGATAGTCCATATTCTGACCATAAGCAAATCTCAATAAATATAAAAGAATTATAATTATATGAAGAATGTTCTCTGCCAGCAATGGAATCTAAGAAATCAGTAAAAGAGAACTAGCTAGAATAATTCCATATATTTGAAAACAAAATAACACAGTTCTAAATAACTCATAAGTCAAAGAAGAAACCAAGAGGGAAATGGAAATTTTTAACGGAAGGTAATGAAAATACAACATTTCAAAATTTGTGGAATGAATCTCAAGTAGTACTTTGATGGAAATTTATAGAATTAAATGCTTATTTCAAGAAGGTATGTCTCAAATCAATGATCTAGGCTTCCATTTTAAGATACTAGAAAAAGAGAAACAGATTAAGCCCAAAGTAAACAGAAAAAAAGCAAATACTAAAGATTGGAGAAGAAATCAAATAAAAAACAGAAAATTAACAGAGAAAAATCAATGAAACCTAATAAGTTTCCTGAAAGATTAAAATTCTTTTGTGAGCTCCCTTGCTCATAAAGTCTTTAACTTGGGTTCATGTTCCTGTTTGGTTTAGCCTCTACTTATTTCTCTGACCTTATTTTTTTATTTTCTCTACCATGGTTATGCTGGCCTTTCATATTTTCTGTTGTCTTTTCTACTGGCACATGATCTTTGCACATGCTGTTTCCTCTGTTTGCCCCATCCTCAACTGTCTCGATGTTTTTACTTCCCACCCATTTTAACCTAGTTGATGTCTACTCGTTCTTTAGACTTAGGTTTGATATCCTAGTCTAGGGCATATACTACCCTACCTGTAAACTCTACTAGGATAGACACTGTGTTTGTTTTGCTCAATATTTTATCTTCAGCACTTAACATATGTCTGGCTCATGGTGGATTCTCAGCAAATATTTGTTGAAATGGGTAATAGATGGGTAATAGATCTATTGTCTTAGGATATGACAAGTTTGAGCATTGCTCCTTTCCTACATCTCATAAATCAATATTCTGAGGATTGAAAGATTATTATTACTCTCAGGTTTATGAGGATTAAGAGAGAGTATTTAGAGATTTCACCATCTCCAACAACCCCCACCCCCAACATCTATACTTCACATATTCATCCATTTCTCTGTGAAGTTCTGCTGGAGAGTTAAGTTCATTTTGTGATGTATTATTTCTCTAGTGCTAGAAAGTTTCATCATTAAGGCTACTGTTTGGTTTGTTTCATTGTACCACCCATACCAAAAAAAAAAGAAACTTGGTGCAACTTGTGCCAAATACCTAGTTAAAAATCATAGTAAATTAGAGGAATTTGTGAATATTTCACATGCAGATACTTCACTTTGTAGTTTAAAAATATATCAATGATGAAAAAGTGAAATCAATGCTTCAACACTCTGATTTCAAGAATTATGCACAAAGATAAAATAATGTATGCTGGTGGAACTTTTGTATTTCAGACACTGGTTTTATTACATGTTAGATTTTTTTTATTCCTCAAAACAACTCTATGATATAGAAATTCATACCTTTTTTTCAGGTAGACTTTTAGTGATTTGCTCAAAGTCTCAGAATTAACATGCTATTAAAATTCAAACCTAATTTTCATGTCAGAACCTACCATTTTTCCACATGCACCTCCACTAGAAAATGTAAACTATTAAAAATTTTTGCCATCCTAAGGATCAAATGTTTAGGTCCTAATGATACATTAGCTCACAATGGCTAGCAATTATTTCAGTTTGTCTAACTATGACACAGTCAGTTAAATGGTTTCTCTAAGCTAAAATTGTGATCAACTATTCACACATAGCACCCTAGTAAGAAAAAGAAGGTAGAGGTAAGATTTTGTCCATTAACTAAATTATGTAAAATGCCAACTTCCTGTAATGTAAATCATATAAAAACAGAACAGTGGGAACTTAGAAAATGTGGGTAGTAAAAAAGATTTTCATTAAATGAAAAAAAATGCTTAATGTCATTTAATAGTTTGTCATCAACTATGAAAATTGAAAAAAAAAGATTAGCTGAAGAGAAATGTTCTGGCTTAAGGGTTATACTTCAGTATTACATTCCGTGAGGTAAGCTATTGCTACAGAAGTTGGGAGAGGGAAGGCAGGGGAGGGAGTCCAGAAGATAAGTTTCATCTTGTTGCTGGGGCTATGAACTATGAGACATTTTATTCTTTAGCAGATAGGAACCTATGTGAAAGAATTCTGATGTCATAATTTTGGGGTGCCACTGGGACATTTGATAATCATTCCTTTGGCAAAGATGGTACAAACAGAGGAGAGCCTCAGGGTCCAGGGAACAGAACAGAGAAGGCAGTACAAGATGTATTCTTGTTTTCTCAGTTGTCCTCATTTCTGTCACTTGGGGATTTCAAGGTTCTTGGGGAAATAGAAAAGAGGTAGTCCAGGCATTAGGGAGAAGATGTAAAGAATCCCACACAGGAAGAGCCATAGAGAAATTTGTAAAGGTGCAGTTTGAGGCCTTTGGCGTGGGATGAGGACATAGTTAGATTGGATTAGTTTGTATTAATAGTTAAGGGAAAAACTGGAAGATAAAGATAATGAAGAAAATGGGATATAAGTGAGAAGAATCTCATGATTTTGTACAGATTAGACTGTAGGCGTAGAATATAAGTAAATTCATTCATAGATTAAAATATTTCATATCATTGGAGAATAAGGCAGTGACAAGAATAAGACTGTCAAACTTCAGAGATAATTCTTTGCTGAGTTTCAGCTTGCTGCTGGAGCTATGAATTGTGACATTTTATTCTTTAGCAGGTAGGAAACTATGTGAAAGAATCTTCTGATGTAATAATTTCTGGGTGTCACTGGAACATTTGATCATCATTCCTTTGGCAATTCCAGCCTTCTATGAAAGGTCAGTAGAAGCAGTTGATTTATTCACCTCTACAGGAATCAGACTCAGCCTATTTTGGTAAGTCTATGCATCCTTGATCGAATTAGCCAGAACTTAATATCTACGTAAATTAGATAGTTATACTAATCCATAGATTTTACTGTAGTTCTACTAACTTGCCATTGAGCATACTACTTTTTTCCTTGATAAAGGAAGCACAGTCTATAAAAACCATTATATATAATATTCAAATTCCTAAACTTTAATAATTTAGTTTTATTATTACCACAATAGACACTTAACTTATTAGGCATAGAATACTGTTCTAGGCATAAAAAAACAGTTATAAGACATATTTCATTTTTCCTGTCTTTTGAACACATATAAATTTATACAAAAGTTATTAATTACTGTGTGCCAGCCACTGTTCTAGGTATTAAGGATTCAGTGAGGGGTGACAAAGATAGGCATGAAATGGAGGCAAGAGGGACAATGATTAAGTAAAAACATTTACAAAAAATTAGGGCGCTGGTTCTCAACAGGGCATGATTTCTTCCCCTTCTCCACCAGGGAACATTTGGCAATGTCTGGAGACATTTTTGATTGTCACAGCTTTGGGGGAAGGGTGCTATTGGTGTGCAGTGGGTGGACGCCTTGATGCTACAAAACATCCTACAAAGCACAGGCCAACTTCTCTCCCAACAAAAAGCTATCTGGCCCCAGATGTGCATGGTGTCACAGTTGAGGAATCCTGAATTAGAGTGATAACTGTTACAAAGCCAAAATAGAGAGTGCTATGAAAACTTCTATAATGGAGTGGTTATGGATGGCTTCTCTGAGAAAGTGAAAGGTAAATTCAGACTTAATGAATGAGTTGGTCCTAGCAAGTAAGGAGTGGGGAGCAGTGGGGTGGGGAAGATTTCCAAGTAGAGGCAATAGTAGGCAGTAAAGAGCTTATTTTATATAGTTGTGTGTGTGTATGTGTATCATACTTATATCTGACATATACATTATGTTATGTGTGTGTTTGTGTACCCAGTAGCATCCGCTGGGTACTAATAGTTAACGTTTATTGAGCACTAACTATGTGTTAGGCACTGCATTTTACATGTATTACCTAATTTAATCCACACTATTACCCTGGAAAGAGATACCATTATTTCCGATTTATCCTTGAGAAACATGCTTGGTTAAGTACCTTGCTTAGGATTACATAGTCTGTCCAACTCTCCCACTTTCTTAACTAATGTGCTGTAAATATACAGAGGCAGGGGGATGAATGATCATCAGGAACAGGATTAATGGAACCTATCATGGAGGATGTGAGGCTCGGCTCTACTTATAAGGAAGAGAAGGGCTTGACAGAGAGGCAGTGGGGAGTGGAAATAGGAGCTCAAGCTTGTTTATTGTTAACACTCATTTCAAGCAAGCTGGGTTTTTTTCACATAGCAGAAATAGACTTCAGTAATGTTAACCATAGGGCACAGTTTACTTCTACCATCTAATGGCTGTTTTATATTTGTTGCTAGATTCAAATTGTATGTAAAGGGGAGTTGTGTAATATAGCATTTATATGCTTCTATAGATATTTTGAAATGTAGTTTCTATATGTTTCTATATATCTACAGATATATATCTACAGATATATAGAAACATATAGAAACATATCTGTAGATATATAGAAAGTTTCTATGTATCTATGACAAAATAATAACATTAAAGACTCCAAAGAACTTTTTGAAGACAACTCAGCCCTATGCCATTATTTAAACTTTCTAATCTAGGTTTTCAGTGAATTATGCCTTTTCGGTGTGGGACCCAGCCAAGGAGGTTTCCAGTGGAAGGAGGAGATTCTTCAACTGGGCTGGAATCCGGGCTGAGCTCCAGTGCTGCCTGTCATGGGAAAGAGATGTCACCAACTAGGTAAGGTCTGCTCATCCTGATGACTGAGGAAATGCATAATGGCTATTATTAATATAAGCTTTAGTTGGTGTTCAATATTAGCAAGAAAAAAGTCCAGGACCATTAAATTAATATTAACAAACATCGCTTATGAAATTAGTATTAACAGATTACAGGTTTTCTTAGCGCAGTCTGTTTTTGGTACATCTGTTAAGTCTCAGCGATAGACCAATTCTTTTTTTGGTAAATTTTTAGCTAGATTTTTGTTATTGTTGTTGTTAATAGTTACAAGAAAGATAGCATTCATTTAAACAAGCAAATCTTTAGGGCTACTATATGCTAGGCATAAGGCTACAAATATGAAGAAGACCCCAACCTCAGATTTAGTGTCACTTTGGCTTTGATTTGACTTTTAGCAGAAAGATAGTAATATAGAGTATGGATATTTTATAAAACAAAATCCTTTTCTGCAAATTGAAGAAAACTATGAAGAATAGGATTTGTTCCACTTTTCTGCTGCTTACCATAGCAAAACATCAAATACTACATTGTTAGATTTCTCATGGCTTAGAAATTTTTAGAACACAGATTTGAGCTTAATAAGGCAGGTACTTTAAAAATCAGAGTTATTCAAGGATGCAGTACTATTTTGGGAAGTACTAAGCACTTGTCTTTAGAAATGTCTGAGGTTAGGTGATTATCTGGTGGGAATGTTGGAACAGAAATTCAAGCACTAGAGGTATTTTTGGACTAGATGCCATTTAAAGATTCTTTTATTTTATTTTTTAAAGATTTTATTTATTTATTTGACAGAGAGAGACACAGCGAGAGAGGGAACACAAGCAGGGGGAGTGGGATAGAGAGAAGCAGGCTTCCCGCAGAGCAGGGAGCCTGATGTGGGGCTCGATCCCAGGACCCTGGGACCATGACCTGAGCCAAAGGCAGACGCTTAATGACTGAGCCACCTAGGCCCCCCTAAAGATTCTTTTAAACCTGAGATTCAATCAACATTTGAATAGTGTATGGAATAGCATGTTCAGTTTTATATTTTTCCACAAATATTCTAGTTTTTAGATCACTCAATTGAAGTGATTTTAAGGTGCCTATATGCATAAATTGCCATAGTATTATCACTATGTTTACAACAATGCACTCCCCCCCTGCCTTTTTTTTGCCATTTAGCAATCACTGCATACCTTTCAAAATGATCCTCCAGAGGGTTATTTTATATTTATAAATTTCCTGTGACTAAGTGTATGGCAACAACCACAATTTCTATGCAACATAAGTCTAAAATGTCTGGCTCATCAGTGCCACTGTGTTATAATTATATTGTGACATTCAAAGCTTTCAAAATGATTTAAAACAGTTGATATGCAAACTTTGCTGCTCTGAAAAAATTTCCTATTTAGTATCAAACCACATGTCATTTGCTCTTTTATTCAGGCAACTCCGAAGATGCCCTGGAAGTCATTGCCTGACAATAACTGATGTTCCTATCACTGTCTATGCAACAATGCGAAAGTCACCTGCACAAAGCAGCAAGGATATGCATCCTAAATAGCATCATTAAGCCTTTTGTAGAGGTTTGACTAGGTCAAGGGTAATGGGCCAGTATCATCTTATGATCTGATAAACAAATAAAAGTGGTGGCACCTTTGGATGATGACAATAGTGGAGGTATTTTCTTTTACTAGGAAAAGACAAAATGTCTTATAAAATTTGTAGTGATAAGCCATCAGTTATGTTTGATAGATAAGACAGAATAATATTTCACAATTAGAAAGTACTTTAGAAATCATTTTGCTCACAGTGGATCATTAATATCAATAATTCAAGATGAAGGTTAATCCACCTTGATTATCAGTCATGAAGGGCCTATTCTAAATAATTAATGTGTTTTAGGCTGGTTTCCTTTGTTTATATTCGGGTTGCCACTTAGCTGAATCCTTTCACTTGAATACCCTAAGCCAGTTTCTGGCTTGATATCTTTTTTTTTTTTTTTAAAGATTTTATTTATTTATTTGACAGAGAGAGAGAGAGATCATGTGAAAGAGAGAGCACAAGCAGGGGGAATGGCAGGTAGAGGAAGAGGGAGAAGCAGGCTCCTCGCTGAGCAAGGAGCCCAATGTGGGGCTCGATCCCAAGACCCTGGGATCATGACCTAAGCCGAAGGCAGACGCTTAACCAAACTGAGCCACAGGAGTCCCAATAAATTGTAAACTTTAGAATTATCTCTAAAAGCAAATAATAACAGAGAGTTAATACCCAATAGTGGAGATAAAATGGAATAAATATCACTCAATCCTAAAGAAGCCAGAAAAAGGGGAAAAAGGAAACAAAGATAATGAATTTAAGCCAAATTATATTGATATTTACATTAATTACAAAAAGTCTAAATACTTCAATGAATAGGCAGAGATACTCAGATTGGCTAGAAAAGAAGATGCTATCTACTTGAACTTTAAATACTAAGAGACACATAAATTAAAAATATAAAAGGTAAAATAGATATACCATGTAAACATTAATCAAAAGAAAGTTGGAATAGCCTATATTAATAATAGACAAGACAATTTTAGAACAAAGAATACTACCAGGGATAAAGAAAGGCATTTCATAATGTTAAAATGGTCATAACAATTTTAAGTGTTTATGCAGAGCTTCAAAGTATATGAATCAAAAACTGATGAAATTGAAAAGAAAACAACTCCACATTTTATAGTTGGAGATTTCAACATCTTTCAACAACTGGTAGAAGAATGATAGTATGGCAGAAACTGTATATTCTTTTCGAGTACACATGGAAAACTCACCAAGAATGACCACATTATAGGCAATGAGACAAGTCTCAATAAATTGAAAAATAGGCAAAATATAGAGTATGCAAGTATATTCCACAGGAGAATTAAGTTAGAAATCAAAGAAAAATATCCAGAGAATCTCCAAATATTGGGATACTTAAATGACAGGTTTTCAAATAACCCATGAATAAAGAAGAAATGGCAGGAGAAATTAGAAGAGTATTTTGAGCTGAATGAAAATGGAAACACAACATATCAAAATGGATGGTGTATAGATGAATAGTGCTTAGAAAACATCAAATTCTTTCATTAGAAAAGAAGAAACATCTCAAGCGAATGATCTAAGCTTTTACCTTAAGAAAGCAGAAAAGATGGGCAAACGAAACCCAAAAGAGGCAGTAAGAAAGACCAGAGATCAATAAAATAAAAATAAATAATAGAGAACAGTCAATGAAACCAAAAGCTGGTACTTCAAAAAGATCAATAAAATTGATAAGCCTCAACAGAATTATCAGGAAAAAAAAGAAACTACTGATATCAGGAATGAGAGTAGAGACATTGCTGTAGATCATAAAGACATATTAAAAGGATAAACCAATAAGTTTTTTACCAGTATGAATTCTTTACTCTTCTAAAGCCTCTGCCTTGAGTAAATGCCTTCCTACATTGCTTACATTGCAGATATGGGCTTTATGTAAGGGAATATAAACAGGTTTGGGGGCATCATGCTTTCATAACCTTCCTCCAGGTTGACATCAGCTCATTAATCATTTATCTTTAGAGGTTATCATTGTAAAACATATTTTGTTGAGGTGGCCGATTTAGCTCACTGTAAATGGTCTGGCTAGCTTGGTGAGGCACTCAGTGTTGAGCGGCCACCATTACTATACTTCAGGAGCTCCTTGAGGGATTCAGTTGCTGCTTCTGGCTGGTCATATCATGCTAACTTCCTCTTATGTGTGCTTTTCTGTCCCACGCTTTGGCAGATGATAACAGGCTTTCATTCCTCAATCTCATCTACCTTCCACCCCACCCCCCACCCCCCACCCGCCACCTGAGCCATTCTGCCCCCTAGCAGTGTCTTCTGGGGATGATGTCCTCTGGTGTTGTGAAGTTTAAAAATTGAGTGGCCTTATCCATGTAGCCAACCTTCTCCCCTACTTTTCAGGACTTGAAAGGTTACCAAAGATCTGAGGGAGTGCTTCTTGTCTCTGTGGTGGGCTGTACCATTTTTTCCCTCATCTACTCCCTACATCGTCAGCAATCAGAGATCCCTGGGGCTCAGGGGATCCCAAGTGGAGAGTCAATACCAGATTTTTTTCCCCCTCAAGAGTCCTAGGCACTTTACAAGTGATTGCACTGGGAGGTAAGGTGAGGGGTAACTTTTATGGAAATCCTGCTTTCCTGAAATTCACTCAACAAATATGTATTGAGCATAAACCTAGGTGTCAAGTGCTATTCCATTGCTCTTACAACATATCAGTGAATAACATAGACAATTTCATGGAGTTTACATTCTGGATGGTGCCTCATTTTGTTGCCCTTCTAGCCTCTTTATATAGACTCTGTGTGTGTGTGTGTGTGTGTGTGTTTGTGTGGGGCATATTGGGGGATTTTTGTGTTATATTGCTGGTTATGCTACAATGATTTCTCGGAGTCAGTCCTAAAGGAGAAGGGATTGACTCCACACTTCAGATGTGATGTATTTACTGTTTTATGGCCTCAGTTATGGGCTGTAGTCACAGATTTAAGGAAATAGAAAAGACTCTACTTGACACCATATACTACCATGTTGCATACAAGGATGTGGGGGCCCAGAGAACAAATAGATCTGAGTATCTTCTGAAATACATTCCCTCCCTACAAACTCCAGGCTGAGAATTGAGGTGGTTAGACAACAGGCAGGTAGATGTATTATACTACATCTACAGAATGGGAAATGCTAAGTTCTTTTTCTTTCCTTTTTTTAAAAGTGTGTGTTTATAAATGTGTGTGGTAAACACTTAAAACCATACTTTCAGATAGTTTTATTTTGGCTTCAACTTCTACTGCTAAGTGCTTGATTCTTTTCACGTTTCCCAATTCAGAATTTTAAGAGAAAATATCTGATTGTTTGAATTCATCTTTTCACACCACCAGATAATGGGATATTGCTTCACTGGGAAGCTATAGTACAGTCTTCTTATCCAATCAGCTGTAGTCATGACAGGAGAAGGCAGGACACAGGCTTAAATAGGGCTCCTCCCTCGAACTGGGGCTATGGGAGGACTCTTCATTTTGAAAGGGCTCTGAACTGGCAGGGAACAAAACAAAAATTTGTCAAAATTACTATGAGCACCAACCCATATTTCTCTATATGAAATCCTGATATACTATGTTTAACTAAAAGAAAAAAAATATGACTTTTTTTTTCTCCCTAGACAGAAGCTGGAAGAAGATGGAGTCCCATCTAAGAGCTGAATCAGGCTCTTAAGAATGGCAAATTCAAAGTTTCAGGTCATCTTGTGGTGGTCAGGAGGTATATGGGTCAGTAGCTTCAGTTGATTCTCATTTGTCAAGTATAAGAGTGTGAAATACTAACTCTGCAAAGTGGCTTTGTAAATTGTGGAGAAGGTAGAAGAATTTTTGTGTTTTCAGTCTATATATGTGTGTCCATGTGCATGCCTGCTGGAACTACTGCATAGGTCCAGACAGGGTCTGCAGCTGGGCTGGTTTTGTTTACTTTGTGCTATTGCTGAGAATGAGGAACTAGGTGGCCCTCTAGGATGCTTCTGAAAAATCTTTTGGAAAAGAAAATGGTAGGGTGTTTCAGAACCACTTCTTCCTGTTTGGGTCTGATGGAATATTATGACGGTGCAGTGTGTTTTGAGCACTGTTTCAATCTGTACTTGTTAAGGCTCTAGACTTTTGGATTCAGAGTTTTTAGTTTAGATGTCACATATGGCTCTTAGAAGGTTTAGTTTGGTCAGCCTGGTATTGTGGTTGCTATTGCTTTAATTTAATTAGTTGCCAACTGAAACTCAGGCCATTCTGAACCCCCCAAATTTCACATTTCCAGCTTCTGTTGGAAATTCTGGTCCTTTAAGACTTGTGTTCTTTCATGTGAGAGTTAGCTGACTTGAGCGCCTGCTGGCTTTCTAGATAAGCCTGGCAAGGGCCCTCTTGATTTTGTCAGTCAGACCCTACCAGCTTTACTCCTTTATGGTAACTCACTGGCTCTATAGGCATTTGAGTTTGTGACTCCAGCTTTAGAGAACAGCTGATAGCTGGCAGACAGGTCTGTGGAGGCAGGAAGCAAGGGGATAATCATGCTGCCTCTCATTTTGAAACCTGGCTCTTTGGCCTAGCTGAATGACAGCCGACAATATATCCCTAACTTTTCTAAGTCTCAGGTTTCACATCTGCGAATGCCACCTCATAGGATTAATGTGATGATCAAATCAGCTTTAGCTTATCATGGAGTTTGGCATGCAGTAACTCCTCTATGAATTGATATTAGCTATTTTCATTGATATCTTCAACTTTATTATTAATGTACCTGAGACTAGAGGGTAGCAGGGGAATATATGTAGATATATATGTATATCTATCTATCTTATATAATAATTTACATGTATATTTTCCCCAAGGTCAGAGATTATTTTATTCCCTTAGTAATTCCTCAAAATATTTTATGCCCCCTTCCCTTGCCCCTAAAAGTTATTCCTTTTACATACCTTTATTCCTATTGCTGTGAGGGCCTATTTTCTCTCATTCTGTCTTCAATGTTGATTATCTTTTCATGTATAATTCTTTTATTTCAGTTTCTGTATTTTAAAATCACACCAGCTATTCAAGCCTATTTTTTCTAGACTATGAATAT